CAGAATGTTTAGCACTCATGTTGCTAAATATTTAGCCCCTTGATATTTTGCAAAACAATTCCCCAGGCCTATTTTTTTTTCATCAGTCTTCTGTTCTCCTCTCGTGCCCAAAGTTTACTGAGGCAACAGTGAGGACGGGATCTCAAAACAGACTAAATCAGTGTGATTATTTTTGTTGGTTTGTCTTGTCGTTAAGTCTTCAGGTGTTTCCCCAAACAATCTATCCACTTTCTTTATTCTGTGTTGGAAAATAAAACTGTCTCCTGCTTTTGAATGCTGAGCACGGGTTTCAGAGTTTGGCAAGGGGGCAGAGGGATGACACGGGCTGACCTGTCCTGACCACCTCACAAACGGCTGCCTCACTGGGCAGCAGGAATTACTGAAAAGGAAGAAGACCCTATGGGGCACTGAGTCACCCCTTCTTAACATGGTGGCAAGGGTTCCTCAGACCTCAGAGAGTTTGCCACAACAACTAAGAAAGCCAAGTGAAGTGAGGGCTGGAAACACCAGGAGCTAGAAAACATCACTGAAAATTAGAACAAATCTCAGTTACTGCCTAACCTGGGTCTCAGGAGCTTTTCTGCCATTACCCAGCAGGAGCCCAGCCAGACTCATAAACAGAAATCAGCTTTGAAGTGTACCCAGTTGTTTTCGTGTTTTTTTCCCTAATAAAGTTAAGAAAATGTCTTCTTGCCTTTGAGCAGGCAAGCTTTGTAACCCTATAGGTTAGGGTTTCCAAATCCCAAATTTCTGGTCACCTCATGCTCCACTGGGCTTGGGAAGTAATTATCCCTCTGGTGACTAAACTGTCCATGGTAAATCAGGGAGAAAATTAATATATGGCCATAGCAAGTTGGGCTAATCGCCCAAAAGGCTCCCTCAAGGCTCAGTAAGATGCAGTCTGTGCAAGAGGTAAACAGAAGTCCGAGAGGTAAGAGTGTGTAAGAGTGGGAGAAATCCAAAGTGGGTTTACATTGCCCAAGGGTGGCAAGGTCACTGAGGGACTCAAGTCACCCGGCTGGGGTGGGGGGGCCTCTGGTGTATGTGGTAGCATGGGAACACACACTGGTCTTTGGGGTTCTCTGCACTGGAACAGGGATGGGCATAATCAAAACGTCACAGCACATGAAATTCTCTCCAAACCATCCCAGTAACTTTCCCCACCAAACCCAAGGGGAATACCCCTTTCCTGACTCCTAAGCCCTGGAGCGCCACCTACTGGGAGAGGCAGAAAGCACATCCACCGTAGGTCTTCCTGCATCTGCCCTCATTCCAGACCCATAATACCTGTCATGTATTATGGGTCTGGAATGAGGGGGGACCGGTGCTAGGAGTGAGGACACAAAAATCAGCAGGGCCTTGAAATCCCCATTCAGCGTGTTTCGGTATAAGTCCAAGGTGTTATATACATAGAAGAACCCACCTAGGGCAGTTTTAAATCAAAGAAAAAATTGCAGGAAGAGTTCAAGTCATCACCAAGACTCTGAGAGATGGCTGAAGGGGCTAAGGGCTCACCACTTCATTTGCAAAGTACTATCCCTAGAACATCTACATGTAGAGAACACTTCTCCACTTCACATGAGGTAAAAATGTCCAAACAGTCTCAGGGGAGTTTATTTCTCTCCACAACTAGCTGGGTCCCCAAAGTGCGTTAATCTTTTGTGTAATCTAAAATATATTTTCTTTATTCTGTGTGTGTGTGTGTGTGTGTGTGCGTGCACGCGCACATGTACCCACTTCAATACTTTTACTGTGTGCTCAATGGAAATAATGACTAATTGGTTCTTGTGATATAGTCTATTATGTATTATCCTGCTACACTGGAAAGTATCAGAGCAATACTAGGCATGATATTCAGAGCCTCAACCGCCCTTTTCCTCCAGTTTCCTCCATGCAGTATCCAGAGAAAGAGAAGCTAATGTCATGCTTTCTATAACCTACACAAGCTGAGGGACAAGTGACATTGTTCTATGACCATTTGTAAAGAGTTAACTGTGATCACCATTATTATTATTACTTTATTATGATGATTACTATTCTACTGTATTGCTAAGTAGTTAAAAGAAAAGCACAGTGTGTCTTCCACTCCCAGAACACATGTTTCTCCCCTCTGCCTTGTCTCCAGCAGATAAGGGACATTCTGGTGTTTTATTTGCTAAATGGTTGACTATTAAGAAACTCATTTGCTAGCTGGAGCCTGCAATGGAAAATCAGCCCAGAAAAGTGGGAGGTTGGCATGGGACCAGAGCAGATGGGGCACGAGAGGTGAGGCAAGGCCCACATGAGCCACTCCCAGCCTGAAACCCAGGGTCAAAAGCCAGTCCTTCAGCGAATCTTCAAGCTATTCCAGTGCATTCATCACTGGTCTCCATACCCCATCCCTCAACACACACACACACACACACACACACACACACACACACACCACCAAAAAGCTGGGGAGAAAGGACCAATGCATTCAGTGCCTTCAAATCTGTCAGGAGGAGAAGAATGTAAAGCCCACACTGGCAACTTTTTCGGTTCTCCACTCTTTGGTTCGTCACCATCACTGATCTGAGGTAATCATTTGGCTTCTCTTCTCTCTCTCTCTCTCCTGAAACTCAAGCCCCCATTTATGTCTCATCACCCCTTCAGTTATTAAACCACAGCAACCCCTTTCCTTGTAAATATTCGTGCTTTTCCAGGTCGGCCTTCCTTACCTCCATCACCCTCCTTCTCTCCTCCTGCAAAAAACCAATGCCGGCCACTAAGGAAAGGGGGATGGGGAATGGAGGGGAGACAGGGATCCTGTGCTTTTTCACCTGAGAACTGCATCCAGGAATGGAGGCAAAATTGCTCCCGTGAATTATATAATCACTGCAGCTTCAAGGGAGAGAACTGGAATTCAGGTTGCCATAGTGTTTGTTGGCATGTTGCTGGAAAAGCAGAGCTCCCGGCCACCGCTCCCTCGCTCCTATCCCTCCATCTTTCTCACAAACCTCTCCAGGGTCACTGCTCCTACTTTTAACGTGTGATCCCTGTATATGTGTGAGGTGGGGGGAGGGGATGCAGGGGGACAAAGGGGCAAAAGAAAGGAAAGGCACTAAGAGGGGTTTCTCCTGAACTAAGAGGGGGACCTGGTAAACTAGTGAAGATTATCGTTATGTGAATAACAATTCTTACCACAGTATACTGCCATTGTTAGTGACAGTAAGGACAATACTACTGAGCTCTCCTCAAGGCTGCTCATGCTGAGTTGAGAACCTGGAAGGGAGATATCCATCCCCACTCTTCACAAATATCACCCTTTCCTTGTGTCTCTCATCCTCAAGCTCCTAATGCATCCACTGCTCCATCTGCTAGGAAGGGGACAGGGGGACAGGTGACAGATGGGGTCATGGCATAGAGAAATCCAGGGACAGAAACTGCCCTTATGACAAAGCCCTGGCTCACCCAAGAACCCATGGCCCTTGACAAAATTCTTTCTACCGATGGGTCAAAATCCACACACTGCTACCGCAGCTGGAAAGCAGAGAGGCAGCTAGCTCCAAAATCAGTTTCAGGTTGGACAGAGACCGGGCAGGTAGCTCTAAAGGACGGGGGCTCTGTCCCCAAATGGTGGAGATGGGGGCAGAAGGAGGAGGAGGCCGGAAAGAAGAGATATGGAGGCAACCCCTCCACCAGGCTGGGGTCCTCAGAGAATCACTAAAAGTACCCCAGGAAGTAACAGGACCAACAGCGACAGGTAATCAGGAGGATGCAATTGACAGGAAGAGTGTAAACAGGGAGGCTTGGGAGACTGGGAGAGAAAAAGGGAAGACTACACCCAAAAGAGGCAGAGAAAGCCATGGAGACAAGACAGAGATGAAGCTGGAGGCTGCCACACTCCAGCAAGACCATCCCTCCACACTCCATCATAACCTGAGCTGCTGAGCAATGCCAAAACATAATAACTTGTTAATGGGGGGGGGGGGGGGGAGAAAGTTTCCAAGAAGTGGGGAGTTACCTGAAAGCCTTCCCCCCTCACTGGGGGGAGCTGGTGACACTTGATGCCAAGGATGGAGATGCTAGGAAAACACTGGGCAATAGTGTGGAGCCGCGTGAGCTCGGCACACCCTTTCATTATTTCCTTAAAACATGAAAAAGCAAAGCCCACACACCGCCCGAATTCTAACTGCTTACACCCTCAGGTGCTAGCCCACATGTGGGTGCGAATCAGAATACACGAGGCGTGGGTGCACTTGGGGTCAATGGCAGGAGAGAGGTGGGTGGGTGTAGGTGAGCCGAGGGAGAGAGGGAGATGGGGAGAGGGAGACCCAGGGAAAGAGGGAGGGAGAAAGGAGAAAGGCAGCCGGGAGACAGGAAGAGAGAGAGGGAGAGAGGGAGACGGGAAAGAGGGAGAGAGGCGCCGAGACTCACATCTGCATCCCGGGCCCCCACCCGCCACCTGGAGCGCGCTGCCGGAGAGAAGGGGCGCCGGCAGCGAGCGGGATGCCCGGCGGCGGCCCGGAGCGCGAGGCCGACCTGGGGCGGGGTGCGCGCGCGCGCTCCCAGCCGCGCCCCGAGCGAGGAGAGGGACCCCAGCCCCCCGGGCCCCGCGGCGCTGGCGCCGGCGCCCGCAACCCCCCTGCCCCCCTCCCGCCCCGCTGGCCGGGCAGTTGGGCTCTCCAGGCAAACGCGAGAAAGCGAGGCAGAGCAGACACTTGGGGAACTTTTCCCCCTCGCCTGGAAATTCATGGGAAACACATGCTCCGGAGAAGCCGGGCACGGGGAGGGGGAGGGGCGGGAATTTTCCGCTCCGGCTAGCGGGCGGCTCCGGCCCGGGTCCCGCCGGGCTCCCGGCCGCTCGGGCGAGACCGAGGCGCCCCGCCGCCGGGCGCCCCTCGCGGCCGCAGCCCCGGGCAACTCCGCAGGGACCGGCCCGGGGGCCGCGGGGAGCGCGCGGGGGAGAGCGGGAGAGGGGTGGAGAGGGCAGGGAGACCCGGCTGGAGCCCTGGCGAGGCGGCGGGGTCCAGCCTTACCTTGATGGTTTTCCTCTGGAATGTACATCCTCGTGTTCTCATTGACCATGGACCAAAAATTGTTTTAAAAGGAGAAGCCACGAAGAGGAAGAAATGGCAAAACACCCCCAAGCGGGTCTGGATTAAATCCCTCCTCCGAGGTCGGCTTTCGTGCAAAATTCAAGGAAGCCGTGGATCTGCAGTATTTCTTCTTCCCTTCTGATGATTACCTGATTCCCATTATTGCATCAAACACCAAAAACTGCTCCTTTCCACTACTGCCTCCTTTTGTGAAATTGTAATGCATCCTCAGTACATCCGGGCCCCTTCCAAGAATTTAGCACCGCACCTCTGGCGGCTACACCATTTGAAAAAAATCAATCGAGAGAGGCAGAGCAAGAAGAGGCGGAAAGGAGGGGAGTGGGGGAGCGGCGGACCCCCAGACGGGGGAGAGGGGGTCCGCCCGGGCCAGCAGGGGGCTGAAACGTCTCCGCCCGCTCGTGCCGAGTCCTCCCCGAGGCCCCCCGTCGGCGTTTCTCTGTCAAAAAGATCCAGCAACTCCTGAGGGCGAGCAGGCAGGAAGAGGGGCCGCCGCCGCCGCTCCGGGCCGCGCCGCGCCGAGCGCCGTTCTGGCAGGGAGCTGTTTCTGCAGAGGCAGGGAGAGGGAGACACCGGGCGCGCGAGAGAGCGCCGCGCTCACTGCCGCCCAGCCCAGCCCCGCCGCGCCGCGCCCGCGCCCTCCCCTGCCCGCGCCCGCCCGCCCGGCGCGCTGGAGGCAGACGCGCTGAACGCTTCCAGATGTGGCGGCGGCGGCGGCGGCGGCGCGCGGGGAGCCGGGCGCACGGCGCAGGGCGCACGGCGCGGACTTGAGCCCGAAGTTGAGCACCCGCTCGGGCCCTCGGCCGCGCCGCGCGAGCCAGCCTGCTACCCACATGACGTCAAGGGGAGCCAGGCGAGGCGGCCGGCCGGCAGAGGGGCGGGGGTGTGGGGCCGCGCGGGGCGCCCCCGGGGGAGGGACGAGGGGCGCGGGCGGGCCGGGGTGCGGACACACCCCCTCGCGCCCGGCCGCGGGCACCGCGCCACCGCGCCCACCACCACAGCCACACACACACACACACACACACACACACACACACACACACACCCTGCTCGCCCCCGGCCCCCCCGCCCTCGTTATCCTCGGCGGCACCCGCGCGTCCCTGCGCGGCCGACCAGGACGGGAAGGCCTCTGTGAGCGGAATTCCAAGAGGGGGGAATACAATCTGCCCAACTACCAGAGTCTCTTTGCAGATCGGGCCACCGAACAAAACAGCAAAATGAGCCGTGATTCCGTGATTCTGTTTGATCAATTATAATCAGAGCGGTTGTAGAAGTGACATGGAGACGCGAGGATGGGAAGAGGGGAGGGGAGAGAGAGAGAAAGGGCTGGAGAGGCGGGGCCTCGTAGGCTAGGCGGTGGTGCCCAGATGTCTGAACAGATTAATAGACCCAGGTTTTCTAATTCCTTGGAGGCAGCCGAGCACGTGTGCTACTAGGATATCCTTACCTACTTCTCTTAATTATTTCTGCCACTCCCGAAGGAATCTATTGAGCGCCTCTCCTTCCCAGAGAAGCAAACCTTTCTCTCCACCACTGGGCAACCACAGCAAGTTCCAGGGCACCCCCTGCAGGCCCAGGCAGCTCTAGAGTGGGCCTTCGTCAGCCCTAGCCCTGGAGCCTACAGGTCCCTCGGGGAAGACCTGTACCTTCCTGTCCTCAGACCGCCTCGCCTCCCATTCACTCTCCTTCGTTGGGGACCCCATCTGTCCCCGTGCCCTCAAGCAACTGTCTATATCAAATTTGAATCTCCTGCAGAGACCTCTCTTCCTGAGTGCCAGGCCACACGGCCAATCTCAGTCTCCACTTGGGAGTCTGATAGACATCTCAAACCTGACATACTCAAGCACTGAATTCCTTATATTCTGTGCAAAACCTGTTCCTCCCACAGCCTTCCCCATCTTGGTTGATGGGGCCAAACACCTGGAGTCATTTTTTACATCCCTTCCGTTCTACCTTCAGATCGGTACAGAATGTGACCAGGTCTCAGTTTCTCTCCTGCTGCCCCCTCTCCCCCCAGGTCTGAGCCAACACCATCCTTCACCTGAGTTTCTGCTGTAGCTGATCCCCCTTCCCCTCCCCACCTTTGGAATATTCCTGATACAGTAGTCAAATCACTGCCCTCCTCTGTTCAAAACCCCCCAGTGGTTCCTATTGCACTTAGTGAAAGCCAAGTTCCTTAGAGTAGCCTACAAGGACCCCTATGAACAGCAGTGTACACCTTTCAGCTCCTACTGCTTTCCCAGCCATACTGGCCTCCTTGGTATTCACCAAGCACTGCAGGAATGATCTCTTGTACCTCCCACCAGCCCCATGTCTTCTCTTTCTGTGTCTCTCTGTCTCTCTGTCTCTCTCTCTCTCTCTCTCTCACACACACACACACCCTGAACCCTTTGCTCCAGCTGCCCCACTGAGGAACACTCTTTCCGCAGATGTCCTCTTGGTGAACTCCTTTATTTCCTTCTAGACTTTGGGCAAATGTTACTTTCTCAATGAGGCTCATCCTAACCACCATATTTAGTATTGCAACCTGCCGAACACCCCCTCCCCATGGCCAATATCCCCCTTTCTCTACTTTTTCCATGGTATTTAATCCCTAACACACTGTGTAGCCTACTTTTTCATTAATTGTATTGTTCATTGTCTGTATGCCCCCACTAAAATGTGAAACCCATGAGGACAGGGATCTTTGTATATTTTGTTCACTGTTGTATCTCAAGTGCATAGAACAATGTCTGGCAGACAGCAGTTACTTAATAAATAGGGGCCAAATGAATGAATGAATGAGCAGCCGAGATGGTTTAGCAGTGCTACAATTCATTGTATCAAAATGCCTCCCTCTGTCACCTGCTTGATAACAGAAACCTCACCACTCCAGCTTCCATCCTCTGGCCAAAGTTTTTGGTCCCAGGTGAAAATGCAAATGCCACTGGGAAAGGCATTAAGCTTTATCAGTGATCTTCATCCTACAGTGAACGGTCTGGATTATACAAGTTCCTACCTTTAGAAAAGCAGTCTCAATTTAGAAACAGTCTAGATTTTGTTGGTTACAAGAGAAATTTGACTTCTTTACCATTCTGGTGTTTTCATACTCAATTTTCAATCTAATACAGAAGATTATAAATGATGCAAAGCCAAATATCTCCTCTGTTTAGCTTTCAGATGCATTATAGTCCTGTGTTTCAGAGGCCTACATACCTGGTTATTTGTTTAATATTGAAATTGGTTTGCATCCCCTATACACACTGTATTACAGAAATACTAATAGCTAACACCATTGAGCGATGTGTACTGTGGTATGCTTCACAGGCCTTACTCATGGCATCCTCACTGCAGCCCCATAAAGTAGCTGTTATTATTAGCATCCCCATTTTATAAATATGGACACCGAGTCTAAGAGACTTAAGTTTTATGTCCAGGGTCACCCAGCAGGAAAACTGTGGAGCCTGGGTTTAGCCCAGGAGTGTCTGACTCCACAAACATTCTCTCCTGGAAGGGATGTTTGTGGGTGATCTGGGGTGGGTAGAAGGATGAAGAGTTTAAAATGACAGTAAAATGACTGCAAAATGTGCTTCAGGGAATTCAGATAACAGAATAAAGTGTATGGGTGTTACGGGGGGCACATGCTGGATTTATAGCCAGGCTTTTCTAAAGGTAGGCACTGTATAAATCTAGCAAGTAAATATTACCTTCATGCTTCTTTAGTTTCATTTTTCACTTCTCTTTTCAACTGTGAAATGTGTTCTTTCCTTTCCAGAAAAGGTATTTCCTAAATATTTGGTCTTGCATTGTACACCCATATCTCGGCTTCTAACTTTGGAACACAGCCCTTGGTGATCTCTTTTGAGGTAACAAATTCTCAACATGACAAACAGAAACCATTCTGAATTCTGATTTGGGGATTTGGGAGACGGTGGGAGGAGCGGATGAAGTCTTTCTTTCTCTTTGATTGCATGATCTGATTCTCCAGCAAAAGGTGCTCTCCTTTGCAAGAGTTCTTCATTTGTGCCACCCAGTCTATGTGCTGATATGTTTCTACATAGTATTATATTTGTATATGAATGTGCCTTGCTCTAACCCACACTACCTTTTAAATGTCTTAAGGAAGAGAATTGTGTACGTTTTTCTTTGGTATAGCATAATGCGTTGTACATATGGACACTCAATGCACATTGAGTGCGTTGATTTACTCTGGAAAAGATTTTCTAATGCAACCACAAATATTTCCTTTGGAAGGAATTCAGAGTGCACTAAATTTGTTAATTGTGGTGTTTGTGTAAAAATAAAAAAGCTTGGAAACAATCTAAACATCCATTTAAAATTTGGTTAAATAATATCTTTGAGAGGTTATCCACATATAAAGTCTTATTCTTCAGAACAACCCTACGAGGGCAGTCCTTTTGGCCCCCTTTTACAAGTGAGGAAACTAAGAGCACAAAGGCCCAACTCCCTTGCCCATTTTCAGAGCTGGTAAAGGTTGGAAGACTGGGGATTTGAACTCCAGCAGTCTGTCTTCCGAGTCTATGCTATTAACCACCTTAGAGATAAACTAGATACATTCATGCCATGAAATCCTTACATACATGTGAATAATATTAAGGTATAATGCTAGTGACTTGAAAAAAGACTATTTACACTAAAAGAAAAACAGGTTACAAAATATCGTGGATGCTATGATTCCCTTTTTCTCTTAAAAACAGGTCTATATTTGAACTAAGAAAAAGACAACATAGAGTTTGCACCAAAATGTTCACAAAAGCTGTCTTTGGGAGGATCACAGGTAGATTTCTCTTGTTTTCTGTCTGACCCAAGACTTCAAAAGCCAGGTTGCCAGGGAAGAGGGGAGTCAGAAGGCTCTGCTTCAATGTGCCTTCCAAAGTTACCCTCTTTCCCTCGACAGGGCTGAGTAGTGGAACCACGGGACTATAAGCATGGTGGCTTTATATTGGCCCAACTTGACCAAGCTGAAACTATATTTCCCAGAATTACCTTCCCTGTGCCCACAACAGGATTGCCCACAACAGATATGTGTGGAGCATTTAGAAGGTAGAAGTGAAGCAGCAGCTCTTGTGCAGTCAAAGTCAGCACATGGCTATGATGGCTGCTTCAAACTTGCAACACCTTGTGACCCATCTGGGCACTTTCCCCTGTTAGTGTGGGCCCACAGCTTCTCCAGATCCTGCTAGATCTTCCCCTTTTCAGCTATTCTGAGCCAGAGCAAAGCTATGTCTGGGCCTGCGGTTAAGGGTACCAGCTTTTGATTTCAAAGTCAAGGTTGGAAGTGGTGAAAGAAAAATAAAAATAAAAATTGCAGTTGTTTTTAGGGGTTTTACCTTGGCCTCACTCTCTCCCACCTCACATCTAGCTTTTCTTCCAGACTCTGGTCCTGCTGATCTATAGCTACTTCAGACCTATCACTGGGGAAGGTCTCAGCCCAAAGACCAAGCCCTTGCCTCCTGTCACTCATGGTGGTACTTCTTCCTCAGTCATACCTAACTCATGCATCTTGGCATGTCCCACGTCACTTGTCTGGATGTTTCCATGAGCAAATAATAGATAGTATCTGGCACATAGGTGCCCTTGACATATATTGTTGAGT